TTATTTTCATTCATTTGAGCATCCTACGGCAATACTTGGCACAAGATTTGAAACTGACCGGAATCCCATTTGAGTGGGATTTAGAACGAGTTATTGATGATTGGGTGTTCATGTGCTTCTTCGTGGGCAACGATTTTTTACCTCATCTTCCTAGTCTGGAAATCCGCGAGGGAGCTATTGATCGCTTGATCGAGATCTACAAATCAACTGTTCAACATACCGGTGGTTGGTTGACTGACAGTGGGAAAGTAAACATGCCCGGAGTGCAAATTATCATGCAGGAGTTGGGCAAGATGGAGGATGATATTTTCAAAAATCGTCGTCAATCTGAACTAAATTTTCGGCGACGGAAACGCGATCACAGTGGCTCACGTGGCCCCTATTCCAGTCCTAGTCCGCAGCGAGGTGGGCAGCGACCACAGTGGAATAATGCCCCAGCACCGCAGTCCGGCCTACTTGCCCCTGTCCCACTGGGTGGTCGATACGGAGTGGCCCATCCACAGGGACGTTATCGTGGTGCTTCAGTCACGGCAGATCAAGTGCATCAAGCACGTCAGTTTCACAACTCCTCTCATAATGTGGATTGGGTCGATCGGAATTTGAACAATCTGGAGGCAGCCACGGCGATGAAAGCCATGCTCAAACCCCGCCGTTCCGGTGAGAAATCCTCTCCCAAAGGGCCCGATGATGACACAGAAGTGGATGAATACGGTCCGAGTGCTGCACACAAACCGAGACTAGAAAATGCCGACTCGAAAAAAGGACGCCTTGGCGGATCAGGTGCAGATGTAGTATTGAAAAAACCAGCCCCCGGTTCCGAATTCGACGTGGACGAGATAGTTGATGCAAACGATGAGGTCCGGTTGTGGGAGGATGGATGGCGCGCTCGATACTACCAGTCCAAGTTTGGTGTCGACCCGGAGGATGCGCCGGAATTTTGTATTCAAGTTGGCCGCGAGTATGCCCGTGGATTGTGCTGGGTACTTGCCTACTACTATCAAGGCTGTGCCTCCTGGGATTGGTATTATCCGTACCATTATGCCCCATTTGCCAGTGATTTTCAAGGAGTCGACAAATTGGACCCTGGTTTTGATAAGGTACAAACGAAGCCATTCCGTCCTTTGGAACAACTTATGGGTGTTTTCCCCGCAGATTCCCGAAGTCATGTACCTCCGGCTTGGCAGGATCTAATGACCGATCCAGATTCACCAATCATTGACTTCTATCCGACCGACTTCAAAGTTGATTTGAACGGCAAACGCTACCTGTGGATGGGTGTCGCCCTTCTACCATTTGTTGACGAGGTTCGTTTGTTAAAAGCACTTGACTCACGAAGACACCTTCTATCCGAAGAAGAATTGGCTCGGAACGTACGTGGTCCGGATCGACTGTTCTGCCGTGCCACTCATCCACTCTGTGCACTGCTCGAGTCCCTGTACGAGGATGGAAAAAAGAAAACGAAAATGATCGAAGCATTGGCCAAAGTGCCCGATGGTGCGGCACCCGTGCCAGAGAACGCGGATGTGATTGAACCGAAGTTAACGTGCGGTGTAAGCGGGCGCATCTGGCCAGATTACCAATGTGCTTATTTGCCCGGCACCCGGGTCCCAAGCGGTGTGCCGTCTTTGTTACCGGATCTAAAGCAATCCCACACAATCTCCGTATGCTTTGCAGACCCATACTACCCGGACGGGTTTGTTTTCCCGGCTCGTCTATTAGAATCAGTAAGTCATTGTTTTTAGTTTCTCCTACTGGTTTTCTGTTTATCACATTTATTAGATAAGTATAACCGTGCAGACGGAACCAGATTCGCTCCTAGATCTGGTTGCGTTTTGTGAATGCTTTTGTATCACGCACGATAAAATGAGATCTTTGATGTTCTTTAATAGCCGGAGTAACGGTATCTTTGACTGCTTGAAAGAAATAGCTAGTTTGGCGAACGGCCACTTGTAGCTTGAAAGTGCAGTTCCGTAAAATCGCACCAAGTTGCTGATCCAACAAGTTCTTTTTACCTTACCTTAGTTCCTATATTGTTTTTCTCGTCATTTCTTAGCCTGATGGCTCCTGCATGTTCAACTACATTTTAGGAGGTTGGATTTCATACTCCTCGACATGTGTCAGTTAGGTACCACAGTGCTTCGAAACAATAAGGTAGTAGTGGTGCAGTGGTTTAGTCGCTGTCACCAGCGTGCTTTGGACCCTATGGTCCGAGGCTCGAGCCCCGCCACCCAACTTTGGTGGTAGGCAGCTTTGCTGTCGTCGGTTCAATACCACACCTAACCTATCGGGACCTTATGTGTGTCATGTATTGGAACTCTACTTCCTTTTACAATTCTCGTATTATTCGTTATGTGTATTATATGCATTCATATCCACCATCTTTCCTATTTTAACAATATCCTCCATTATTCAGTTGATTAGAGCCTACAATACGGCTTACTTCTGTTGTGCTCAGGGCATCTCGTTGATCGATGATCTACTACAATATGGTTCACCACTCCAAGTCGCGGGGCTTAGGCGACCGGTTTCCATCACTGAACNNNNGCAGGTCCTCGTGACTATGGGGTTTACCCCTTCTGCTGTTTATCACACCAAAGTGTGTAATGAAAAAAATACGCTCTCTTCAACGGACGATTCGTCGTCATGAAAAGCTCATTGATGACGTCGTTCTGCCTCCTAATTTATTTGACCAGAGTGAGAGAACTGTGCCACTGTTTAGTAGTCAAAATCACTGAACCCACGTAAAATGTGTGTATCACGTCTCCTCTTAGTGCTGCTTTCAGACGTGCACACTTATTATTTGTCTGCCAAGGAACGCTTAAGCAATAATGATACAAAATGGTCATGAAAACCCGTAGGCGTGTTCCGTAGTTTCCACTTTATCCTCTTTGACCATACTCACATTCTCCTGCCATTTTATACTCACTCACAAACGTTATTTACAATGCGTGTCACTCCTTTTGTGATGCGATGGACCTGTCTTTCAGGTGACGTCTCCAGTTTCTTGAGTAGTGTAGTGAACTTTTTTGTTCGGTAAAATGACCCTACTTGACAAACCTGGATATCTATTAGGTTGTGTTATCTCTATCTCTTCACTAGCATTTATTTCATCTTTCTGGACGATAAAGAGATAAAGACCTTACGTCCAAGTAAGCAGTTTTCATGAACTGACCTAGTTTCTCACTCAGTACTCAAAAGAATGTCTTTTTCGAATCGTAATGTAAATCCAGTTCGGTTGGTTACTAAATCTGCTCGCTTTCGTATAAGACTGCATTGTTCGTCTGCTTAATTACTTCATCTGTCTCACTGCTATCTTGAACAGTAGGTAACTATTTTTCTGTCGTGAATAGTTATCTTAATTTTACTTTTGTTTTCCGCCCTTACGAAACTGTCATCGATTTTCGTATCTTCACTCAGGTTAAATTACCCCCACCGGCGCACTTGCAGCCCCCGCAACGTGGACGTGGTCGTGGTTTTGGAGGTGGTCCTGGTGGCCGTGGTCGTGGCCGTGATTCCGATTCGTCCTCAGACCGTGGTCATCGACGATTCAGTAGTGACTCTGCAACACAATACTATGCTCGAGACTCGTCCTCTGATCGAGACCAATCACCATCGACCAATCGGCCAATGGATCGGATGATTCGCCACGCATTGTCGAATAATGCAACTAACAATAGTTCACGGGATTTCGTACCACGTTGGGGCTCCGTCCCAAGTCGCGGTCCTTCGGTTCCCCCTAATCCATACGCTGGAGGTTTCAATCAGCCTTCGTACGGATCGTCTTCAACCAGACCAAATTACGGTGGGCACTTTAATCAGCCCTATCAAACGGCTCCTTGGCCAAGATCGGGTGGTGGTGGTGGTGCTCGCGGAGGTCCACCGAACCGAGGTTGGCGACGACCTTCTCAGCACTATGGACGCTACTGAGTGTACCGTTCCGTGCTCGGTAGCGGCTGTTGCAATTGCTTTTTGTTTCCTCCACTCCTGGTTTCACATTCTTCTACTCTTTGTCTCCACGGGCTGCCTTCCATATACCCGTCACTTTTTCCCAAGCAACTATTGTTGTCGAATGATGCGATCATTCAGGCACATCCTTCTTCGTCTCTGTGGATTCTATTCATTCTGTTTATTGGTTTAAAATCCTCTTCCTTTCTGTTCCCATTACTGTTCATGTCCTCCCCCTAGACATTTTCGTTTTTTTATTGAAACCATTTCTTTCGAGGAATCATTCACTCTGTACAGCTTTGCACAGTCATCAAACCAAAAAAACGTATTACTGTGTTTTGTTTCGTTTGGTTTTTCTCCTCTAGCATTCAAATACAAAGTAAAGATAGAATCGTCGTAGTAACACTTAGGTTTACGCGCGTTTATACCCTTAGACGGAATGATAGCTTTCCGTGCGTACCTGTTGCCGATAACTAGTTAGCTATCCGGTTCGACAAGCGCACCACAACCAGAGAAGCAGTGCAGTATTTGATTCCATTATTATCGTGTATTTCGCCGTGTTTCAAGCAAATGAGACGTGAACTGGAAAACTAAGAAGTACACCTGTTTCGATCTGTTCGAGTCTAATCAGCAGTGCGTAAATCCACCAAACTCGGGACCTCACAGGTAGAACGCAAACATAGCACACGCAATCAGTCAACGTCTGTGAAGAAGCCCAAAATTCAGGCTTTTATTGAACAAACAATTTGAAAATGGGGCTAAAATGAGGAAAATAGTCGGACAACGAATTGGAAAGTGATATAAACAATTTAAAATGTCCGTTTGGACAAACGTTTCGCGTGTGATGCAGAATGGCCTTTAGGAAGAGTTTGTGGAGTGGTCGTTGGATGAGAGGGTCCTTACACTATTTCCCAACTGGTTTCCGAAGTTTTTTTTCATGAAGGTCTCGGAGCCAGATGATGACGTAAGCATAATTGGGATTACGCTTGATAATTTCAAATGCATCATATTTTCCCGCTCCACTAGGATGGCGCATCAAAACCGGCCTCGAATTTAGGAACAGTGATACTCCGGTGCTCGATTTACGGCTATAGGAAAACAGTCTATCGTAGAGGGTCGCGTTTTTTAACCGTACATACACGAGAGCGAATTGAGTGGAGAGCGTCCGGTGGTGCGTGTCCCCCGTAGCTGATGAAGGGGCCTCGTGACTGAAATGTTAGCACAAAGGATTGTCCGAATATACCTTCATTACACATTGTAAGAAAGCACAGACTAGCGAACAAGCTCATTTGAGGGGCTTCTTCTACAGGCTAATACACCACAATTTATATCAGACTTTAGTAGGGGGGAGAAATCATGATAAGTTGGAAAAGAAATAATCAACATTCCAGCTCCATGGCCGGATGTTACTGACAGATGAGCACTGGTTCTGGTCATTAGGGATGGCTGTGTCGTGTGTGTGGTGTTGACCATGGAAGACCGAGTGTGTTCTTACGAATTGTTTTTGGGACCACAGGGGAAATTATGTAGGCGGATTCCGATCACTTCCGCTGTGGTCAGATAGGCGGCTGCTAACCCAGTAGAGGGGTCGAAACGCTTGGCCATATTAACTACGTGGTTTGATTCCACTAGGTGTGAGACGATTGAGCTGTTGATAGTCTTAATTGCTCCACTATTCAACCAGGCCGGTTCTTGCTCATGGACTCGTTCGGACAAACGTCTGCCCGCGCGACCAATATACCTTGTCCCACAGGAACAGATAAACAAATATACACAGAAAGAGGCGACAGAAACAGTCTCTCCACCTGTTGGTTGTAGGCGGTCGTTCTGCTTGTGGCTGTTTCCTTGTGAATGAAAGGCTCTAATTCTCCTGACACGAAGGACGAACCCCCTGGTCGGAATCTGTGTAGGCCGAAAAGTGGATAAGAGTGGAGTAAGACGGCACCGAATGGCTGTAGACGAGATTAACTTGCACGTGCAAAAGCAAATGGAAATCGAGAATGTTGGTCGATAACAGTTGGTAGGTATCCAGTTTGAGTGAATCCTTGAAGTCAGTGATCATCAGCCTTTCAAATGGGGGATGTAGCCTTGAGAAGATGACCAGTAGGTAATGTGCAAAATCGTGCTTTCAGTTCAGCACAACTAGTGCGATTGTCAGTGCCGGATTTGACTTCTTCGTCAGAGCATGGTAGATTCTTTGTTCTCACACAATACCTGGATTGTGTGGAGAGTTACGTGATTCTTTCAGTACGATGTTTGAGGTGGAAGCTGAGCAAAGGGCATGGTAGAGAGCGCATCGGCTGCGACATTCCTCGGGTCTGGACGATAGATGACATGGAAGCCTAAACGAGACAACTCTGTCGTTGAGTTTTGTTCTTTTTTCAACTTTTCCATCATGTTCTGAATCAAACATGGAGGCCATTGACTTGGTTCTTAACTAGTTTAAAGTGCGAACCAAAAAGGAAATGTCTCCGCTTCGGAATGGCTTCTTTCGCCACAGAAGAAGTATCGTTTTTTCGTAACACATGAGGGTTCGGAAAAAATGCCACAGGTGGGCAATTCTGTGATAGGATAGCAGAGACGGTGATATCTGAGACATCTGATTCAACTACTAGAGGGATTTTCAGATCGATAGTGGTTACAAAGTCTATCAAATTTAGCGATTAATTGTTTGAGAAAACTGAAGCAAGTCTTTCCCGAGATTAATTTCGAAAGAAAACATTATATTGGAATATTGCACGATTTTGTTAATAAGAATAGCAAACCGAGAATTGCGAAAGAACCGATTGAGTCGATTCCAAAATTGCGGGTCACATTGCACCTTCAATTCAAAGGTGATGACGTAAGCTACCTGCTCAACAAACGGCTGAGATCAGCAATCGCTGGAACCTACTACGCAGCGGACCTCCAAATCGTCTACCGGACAACCAGGATACCCACACTCCCGGCCAAAGAACATCTGCCTCTGTACGACAACTATAATCCAATCTACCAANCGAACAGAGCGACAATTACGCAATCGGGTGGTGGAACATATACCAAATTGAGTCCAAAATCAGATGACCCAATCAAGGTCAAGTCCGCGGCATAGAAATGACGGTCGAAACTACATGACCCCGTCCTCAACCATTGCTCGACATCTTCTAATGACGCAACACCAAATCGACTGAAGCATAGTGGTTCGGATTGTCTACAAGGTGCGAGTTGCAAGACTGCTAGGGTTCGCTGAGAGATTGCTATTACTCGATGGAGGCCCCCATTGTGTCAGTAAAACGAACTTTGTTAGTCTTTTCCTTCCCTGGTAATATGGTCCTGTTACCCCTCCCTCTTTTATGTTTTGTCTGTTTTTAATGTATTTTGCTTCACTTTGTTGCCATGCTAAAACCCTATATAAACATTGTATTTTCTGCAGTATGCACCATGTTGAGGTGCAGCGAAATCGTCCTGGACATAAATCGTGCAGTATTACAATATGGTCTTTTCTTTTGAGATTAATTGTTTGACTCTGACCAGTTGCCGTGCCGCATTTGTCTTTCGTTCATAGAGATTTTGGAAGTTCGACGATCACGTCCTTCAGTAGTCTGTTAACCTCTGATCGGGTAGATTGCTCGTCATCCGTTGTCCGCTGACGTGATTTCGTTGCCATCAGTTTGCAATCTGACAACAGTCTTCCGAAAAGAGACGGAGAGATGGTCGATGTGTGCAGCGGTCATGGCAAGGAGCTAGAACGGTAAAACTGAACCACTCAAGGGAGTATCGACTTGGTCGATGATTTTTAAGAGTTCATGTCCGCGTAACATCTGCACAGATGTGAAAGCAGGGAAAACTTACGTTTCCTTTATGTGTTGTTTCGAAGTTTGCGGTGAGATAACAGTGACCGTTCGTGTGTATGTGTATGTGTGTGCTGCTAGTGAGCTAAGTGAAAGCCATGAAAGTGACGTTAGAGGAATGCCCAACCTTCATATTGCATCTGCGCAACGAAGGGGATGTATAACCGTCTGAACTTCCCATATCTAACAGAGCCTGCAATGGAATTTCATTTACTCTAACTTTTCGAATCGCCTTACACACGTAGACAGGACAGCTTCTGTAGCGGAAGTTGTGTTATTCTGATCGAAAAACTGGTTTGAGCTAACGTTTCTTGCCGTAGACAGCATCTTCAGTGGATTGTGATCCTAATCACAGAAGTAGCATTGGCCTTCCACCTTTGCAGACATCGGTGGCGAAGAATCTGGAGAGATTGATTGGAATTAGAGGTCGAGAACGGGTCAGAGATCAAGATTAAATTACAAACATCGGATTACTGCTACGTCATTACAAATGATCGCGCTGGTTCTGGGGCGTTCGTCAAGTTTAGTTTTGTGTTCTGATAGAAGTTAGCGTACAATGCTCGATGGCATACCGCTTCTAAAAGCAATACTGATCCTTCTTTTCAGTCGTAACATGCCGGAATTTTCACTCTTTGGCTATGATTTTATTATCTGAAAAAACTGGTCAAACTCTGCTCCACTCGGCAGCTAGTCAGACCGTGTCTCATTTTGCATTTCGCTATCACGTTTGATAAGCGCATAACACGTACAGAAGTGTGACGGCACCTGGGACGTGTCCTGGGGATAACTCTGCAAATATTAGACGGTGCATTTTTTGAGTAAACTGCTATAGGCATATTCATTGCTCATTATTACTCATCCTCTTGATGATTTGTTCGGTTTTTCACTCCAATGCATACTGGGGCTTTGGCCTCCAGGGACGAAAACCACGTAGCAAGTCCTTTTGTTATTGAAACAGTGTTCTCGATGCTCACAGGTTAAATTTATTTATCCAACTACATTGTCTGAAAAGAACCTGCTGATCAGTGGATTAGTGATCTGAATATGATTCTAGGTTTTAAAAGTGAAATGGTGATGTATTGTTTGATTTCGAGCTGCTTCACTCATCTTTACATGTTGCGTATTTATGGAAAAAAATCAGGTTACCGGTGT